ATTTAAAAGAACCTTGTACATGTTAGGTACACATGATGTATTTTAATTTTTATGACCTTCTGAGAGCGTACCGATACGGACAATGTTTTCTCTTGCACGGGTAAGTTTAAAAGTCAGGGTGATAGCACACGGTGATAAGTTAAGTGGATGAACCTTGCGCTGTTTGATCAACTTCTAATCTTTTAGACGGAACGATGTTTGCGGTGTGGGGACGAAAGATTCGATCGCACCCGGCACCACCATGCTCTCAGCATTTCGGCCCCCTGCTACTCAGTTTTTCGAAATGTTGCTAGGCCAGTGGCATGCGTGAGTCTGAGGAAGGTATGTTGCGGCTGATATTTTATGATTTTCCTCATTTCACAATGCTTTAAAGGTAGTGCTACCGTTCGCATGAACTTAATTCTTTTTTTGTGATTCAAAACAAATCATCCTGCGACAGCAGTTTCATATGAACATAGCTGTCGCGATTGTGATACACTTTTCTGTGTTGCAATTCGAGCAAAATCTGTTTCTGCTCCGGAGCATGTAAATAGGGAATGACTTCTAAATGACCAGATTTCACGTAACCGTTTGATGTATAAGGAGTAGCATAGTTGGTCAAAATTGGTCAGCGTTGGAATGTCGATATTGCTTCACTTTTATGACTGGGCGCACTTCGTTTCATGGAGTTGATGGTGCCCTGATGATCTCCGTTTTCTTCATGTCATCAGCCAGGAGTGCGTTATTTTTTAAAAGCAGAATCTACCACCATGTGGCAAGCCCTTTTCTTTTCATGTACTGGTACTCATTAATCAGCCTCGGAAGGAAGAAGCATGAATGACCCCGACTGAGGTTTGAACTCAAGACCTATCAGTTCTGAGTTCGACGCGCTACCGCCTCGAACAACCCTAGTCGGAAGCAATTTGTGGTAAATTTCTTGCTCAAGGGAATTCGTGAATAAGACACAGATTGTCCTCGAAAAAATTGAATTTCTCACCTCCGGTGTTCGAAGCGGACATATTAGACAACTGCGACATTTCCATGCAGCCATTTTAGTCCATACGGCCAGTAGTCGTCTGCACTTGATTCTGCAGTCGACCTATTGAATCTGTATCACTGGACAGTGGTCAGCTGCATTAATTGCGTCATTTAATCCATCATGCCATATATTCATGGGTAGCTCTCTCGGTGAAATACGATGCCGTGGTAAAACGAAAGATTTTTTTTTATTAGAGTTCCATTTCGATGATTATGCGATGTCCGCACTTCAGCACACAGGCTGCGGTCGCAGGTAGGAAGTCATGTCACCTGTAGCTATGATTTGACTTCAAGCATCATATCGCCTATCAGTCTCTGCGATGCCATTGTCAAATTATGAATGCCAATGATTTTCACTGTATTTTCGATTCCATCGTGGTGACAGTGCGAGATCGCTAATTAGGCCTGCTATTATTTGTCCGCGAATCGGAGTGGAGAGAATTGCAGGTGGACATCTGTATAAGTTACTTCACTTAATACCTCATGTTATACATCGCTGGAAAAGTGCTCCTGAGCAGTATATGCAGGTTTCTTGCTAACTATCGATTTCATAGTGGGCAAAGTTGGACGATTTTACGGTGACAATTACGGCAAGGTCATTAAATCGGCACGCGTCATATTACCATTAACAGTTGCGGCTTTAAAGGCATGGAACTTTCAAAAGTCTTTTTCTATCGCATGTCAAGCAGGAACTTTCTCTGAGAATAATACATATGTTTTGCCACAATACTGAATTTTTATATGGATTTAAGCCAATAGTTCCTCTATGCTGCTATCATATACTTCTACTCTGCAACATTCACTGTATTAACTAGAAACGGTTAATACTATCATCAATTTGTTTTCTAGTACTTTAATCCTAGAGTGTCAGCTATATAAAATTGAACTGAAATTAAACAATGATGAACTAAAAGTGCAAAGATTAATTTTTTCGCCATAGGAATAACGTTTATTATATAAACACATAACACTGCTGAGGCATTTCCTAGTTATGCGCTAACTCATGGAGATAAGTAGTAATGTCCTATTATGATTGTCAAACACAATAGAATTTATTCTTTCATCCGCGTCCTGATATTTCTTCAACTTGACTTGTGGCTGTTGACTGGTAGCAAGTTGTTCATAGTATATTTCCTAGTCCCTCTGCACTTTGCGGAATACATCATTTAACTTCCACGCCGACGGGTGTGATATTCTCAATCTGACGCGGACTTTCTGAACGCTGATTCGTACGGTCTGTGCTCTAGACCGCCCTAAAACAAGCCGACCACATTTCTGGTGGAAACAACACTGGACGTCTTTTATTTCCTCTACAGTTTAAGGGAGCGACGTAGTTGTCTTCGAATCACCCAAGAAGGGGCTGCAGTTCGTTGGGAAGTTTTCCTTCCAGTCTGTCGATTATTCGACGTAGTTGTTCAAGGGGTACAACTCCAACGCTGTTATCATCCTTGCTTTCAAGGTAAAATCAGCATTGGCATTATAAACACCATATATAGTTCGTCCAAATGCTTCTTCGTATTGCAATTCAGATGATAAAAACAATTATGAAATGAACGTCTGAGAAAGCGTCCTTCATTGTGTGCATCGGTGCAACCTCGAAATCGCAAGCTATTGAATCCAGAGTAAACTCAGGCATCGCATTTTCACCTTTCTATGACTACTTCTCCTTACGGGTCGCGGAGGCAGACGCGTCAGACAGCTTCCAGCGTTCCAGTTCCTGTGCCAGAGTCTGAGCTTCGGCAAAAGACAGCTGGAGTCTGGAATATTTGCACCAGATCTCGACCATCTCCTGGACCTTCTGCGGGTAGGCTGCGCAAGAAATAGTTGTTTCGCCTTAATCGGGCAAAGCTTCTTTCATTGTCTTAAACAATGAGTTGTAAGTTGCTGTTGTCTCCTGTTTGTTTGGCAAAAGGTCAAATGCAACAGAATGGACAACATCAAACCTTTCTGCCAATGCTGTATAAACAGTGGCGTTGAAGATCGAAATGTTCCTTCCGCAAACCGTTTTTCCATTCGCTTCAGATCTGAAGGTTTTCCTGCGTGTCAAGAATCAGTATTCGAATTGGTATGGGTCCATCACCGCCAATCAGGAACTGTTCAAAGCACCTGGCCGCGGCTCGCATCGATTTAAAGAATTCCAGCAGAAACAGTTTCCAAATTTAACGGAGCGTTCAGCCATTCCTTTTTTCTATGACGGTTTTAAAAAAGCAGGAAGATTTTGAAGCGAATCCTCAGCTAGGTGCTACAGTTCAAGTTTACGCTCGTTAATGACTTGTACGATTGCTTCATGATGGAGACTGGGAAAAGTCAACGATCGGAATCTACTCATCGACTTCTGGCAGCAGGGGGGGGCAGCAGCGCAATAACGGCAACCGAACATCGACCAAACGATGACGAAGACACTAATCAGCGACGGAGTCGTTATCGATTTTGAACGGAGGAGGCAGACAGCGCGATGCCGTTACTGCATGTATGAAAAGCTACACGGGAACGACACCGTCAGTGGGAGCATACAGTCGGAAATTGGAATATATCCTCACTTAGAGGGAAAAAGAAAGAGTTAGTTGATGAAGCCATGAGATACGAAATGGACAGTTTGACTCTCGTCAGCGAAGCGGTAAGGATCTGAAATTCTAAACCTCTGCGGGTGGAAGCTGTTCTACTCAGGCTCAGGCCGGTGTTCGCGTTCTGGTAGAACCCAACATTGCCGATAGAATAATCGATTGGAAGCCTATCAGCGGAAGGGTGGTAATCCTCCGACTGTAGCTACAACAGGCTAAAGCGATGACTTTGGTACAGGCCTATGGGTACAACTTGGAGGGAGAAAATGAGACCTTCCTGGAGGAAGTGCAGTGTGCTCTGTCCGAAGTGCCAAATACAGAGTCCCTCATACTGATGGGCGATTTTAATGCGCATGTCGGAGTAGACGCTGAAAAGTGGAACGGCGTGATTGGGAGAAAAGGCCCTAGCGACCTCAACAATAACGGCATGAAGTTGTTGCGGTTTTGTGCAAACAACGGACTTTCCTTTATGAGCACTTCCTTCGAGCATTGAGTGCTTCAGTATACCTGGAACGGGAAGGCTCGTGCACAGAAGTCGACGAGCGATTTGATAATCATATCGCCTTATCCCATTTTAGTGGTTATTCGCGATAAGGAATGCGCCGACCTGTCAACCGATCATCGCCACTGGAAGATCTGACTGCAGCTGCAATTCCACAGAAAGATTTTCTTCAGCGGATGCGAAAGGGAAATTTCCAAGCAACGTCACACGACGGTTTGAAGAGATTCCGGTGATGACCACCGATGTGGAAACTGAGTGGCAGCTCTTTAAGAGCGATGTACTCGGGATTGTCGCTAAATACTGCAGATACAAACAGGTTCATCTGCCACCTGGAGGTCAGAAAAGAGCTTCGGGGTTGACACGACAGGCGCCACTGGCAATTAAAGAGAAGAATACTGCAATCAAGGAATGGCTGGGAAACAAAGAGCCTTCTACTCGCGTGCGATATGTCGAAGAACGCAAGTGGAGGTGAAGGCAGTGGCGAAAGACAGTGCTGATTCCTTGAAGAAGTTCGTGAGGTATTTCGAAGGGATATTGGCAAACGTCAGTCCGCTGGCTTTGAGGTGAAAAAAGGGTAGTCCAAGAATTTTGAAAGACAGGTATGAACACCCTCTGACAAGGATGGTGACATTTTTCGGCGATAGATGGAATACTTCGAGGAACTCCTCAACCTCGCGCATCCACAGTAAACTCGCCTGTAGAGCAGAAGGGAACGAAAGTTATTCTCTCTTCGAGCGGTGAAAAACATGAAAAATGGGAAGGTTCCTGGATTTGATGAAGTCCGCCTTGAGGTGCACAAGGCATTAGGTGAAGGCATGTGCTGGCTTACACGTGTCTGTCATACTGCGATGATTACGGGGAAGAAAACATCGAACTGAACAATGGAAATTGTTATACCCCTATTCAAGAAGGGAGACGGCAAGAAGTGCTCCAATTATAGGGGCATTACGCTATTGAGAATGCAGAGTAAATTCTACAGAATTATGATAGAACGAAGGTGCCATGGAATAACTTGCTTCAAAATACATGAAGAGCAGTGTGACTTCTGATCCGGCCTGGTACATTTGTTTATGTGTACGCCGAATGCCAGATAGCTAATTGTTGTGCAGAAAAATTGGAGCAGTTCGCTCATATGTGTTTTATTGACCTAGGAAATGCCTATGACCGGATCCACGCAACAGTTTGTGGTGATGTCTTCGAGAATTGGAATAGATGGCCAGCTGATAAGGTTTTCTGATAGCAGGTGCTGCGTCAGAGTTAATGGTATTAAGTCGAAACCATTCAACGTTCGCACTGGTCTCCGCCAAGGCTGCTCCCTGTCCTCTATCCTGTTTTTGTTGTACATGGGTAGAA